CTTTGATGCCAGCTTCTTCTCTGTGAGTACTGGAATCATATGCTACCTGCTGGCATAGCTGTGGCTCAGCACAGCCTGAGGAGACAAGCTCAATGCTTGTAAGTGAGCTGGCCCAGCTCCGCTGGGAGAGAGGCCAATGCCTTCTCTGCAGACTTCTGACTTCTTTTCTTCAGAGTTCAGTTCACACTGTGGGCCAGTACATTCTGATTTTTATATTTCACATGGAGAAGCAGAGCCGGCAGAAAGGCATTGTTGGGAAGGTATACCCAGCATAAGTGGCTAGGTGGGTGTAGATGAACTGAGCTCTGTTAAAGATAGTATTTAAAACTGCAGCACCCAATCTGTCTTGTTATGGGGCTGCCATTTTCCCAACTAGACAAGGCCTGAGGCCAAGAGCAGCGGTGGGCCGCTGCTCAACTCGGACTGCAGCTCATGCCGGCCAAAAGCACCAGTCCTGCCACTCACAAGATGCCAGCATGGGAGATAGCTCTGCCAATCTACCACGCTGTCTCCACAATGCTTGGCTGAGCCCAGACCATCCTGCCATCCATGCAGTACCCAGTAGAAATGAGACTCTAATGCTTAAAGATTATCCAAAGGCTTTATATGTTTGATAATGCTCAATTAACAAGATGCTCACACAATTGGAAGTGTTACCCAATTAACTAGCCTAGATATATGTTGTTACTCAGGACTGCTCTCGGTACATGTGTGGTCCTCCATGGCTCCTACATCTCTGCTCTCCTAGCCCTTTCTCTTCCTCTCCTCCCGACTCTCCCCATATTACTGAGTTTATTGTACAATATCCAGCTACAGAGCTCAGTTACATATAGAGACTTACCAGGGTAGCACTGCAGCTGTTACTAATCTTCCCTAATTTTTTTACACTGAAATACAGTGCTTGGGGGCTGAGAGGTGGCTCACTGGCTACGAGTGATTTCTCTGCAATCATGAGGACCATAATTCAAATCTTAGCCTGAGAGTAACTAGTCAGGCATCCAGCAAATACCTGTAAAATGGCCTTTGAGGGGAGCAGAGGAAGGAGGATTATTCGGATTGCTGCTTCCACCCTGAGATGAGCTCTAGGTTCAGAAGAGACCCTACTTCAAAAAGGAGTATCTGGAGACTGATAGAAGATAGCCAGTACTCTCTTCTGGCCTCTGCCCTTCCAGACAAACACAAATACAAACTTATTTTCTAATTTTTATTTTTTTATTGTTGGTTGGCCAGATGTGGCACACACCTGTTGTGCCCAGGAGGCAGAGGCAAGATTTTAAGCTCAAGGTCAGTCTGGGAAAAACCATCTTTCATTCCCTCCCATATGGTCAGAGAGAACTTTTACGTTTCCATATTTCCCTTGTTAGGAATTCAGTTTTTGCACCCGTGTTTCACTATTAGCAGTCAGATTCCAAAGTAGCTACATGTCAACCTGAATGCTTCACTGCTGCTAAGTTTCTTCTGCCAGGCCGGGCGTTGGTGGCGCACGCCTTTAATCCCAGCACTTGGGAGGCAGAGACAGGCGGATTTCTGAGTTCGAGGCCAGCCTGGTCTACAGAGTGAGTTCCAGGACAGCCAGGGCTACACAGAGAAACCCTGTCTCGAAAAACCAAAAAAAAAAAAAAAAAAAAAAAAAAAAAAAAGTTTCTTCTGCCAGATATGTGTTTTGTATTCTGCAAAGTCCTAGGGCATGGGCACAGTGAAGCTGAATTCACTGAAGCTTGCTTACTTTGTGTGTGTGTGTGTGTGTGTGTGTGTGTGTGTGTGTGTGTTTGTTTTCAAGACAGGGTTTCCTCTGTGTAACCTTGGCTGTACTGGAACTCAGTCTATAGAATAGATCAGGTTGGTCTCGAATTCAGAGAGTTTGAGATTAAAAGCATGTGCTAGCCTGGCCTTCACTGCAGTTTTCTGACAAGAATGGCCTTTGCTCTGCTTTATAAATCCTTGTTTCATGTTTACTGTTTATACTGCAACAGGATGGTGGCCAAGTCCGTTAAACACCACCAGTGAAATCCCTGTCTTCTCAGCTCTTCCCAGAGTGGCCTTCTCTGCTCCACTCATGACAGTATGCTTCTCTCTAAATGCCTAAGTCTGACCATTACTCCATTCCAGTCAGGTGCTTCTTTAGCAATAGACTCACTTATTTTTTAAAAAATATTTTTATGTGCATTGTTGTTTTGCCTACATGTATGTGTGAGGGTGTCAGTCAGATCTTGGGAGTTACAGTTGCGAGCTGCCACATGGGTGCTGGAATTTGAACCTGGGTCCTCTGGAAGAACAGTCAGTGCTCTTAACCACTGAGCCATCTCTCTAACCCAGCCTCACTTCTTGACATCAATTTTCTTAGTTCATTTTCTGTTTCTCTAACTGAATACCACAGAAGAGGCAAATAGAATGATATCTTACTCAGTTTATGCTTCTGCAGGCAGGGAAGCCCAAGGTCAAGAGGTGAGGGTGTTGTGGTAAGGATTCTGTAGACTACCAAGAGAACAGGGTCTCCCATGGTGAATCTGGGAAGCAAGCCTCCTTTTATGGCCTATTCACTCATCAAAGGCTTAACTGGCAAACACCATTGATAGGATTTAGGGGATTTTCCAATACATGGCATTTGGAAGAGTACATGTAAAGCCATAGTATTTTTTTTTTTTTTTTTTTTTTTTTTTTTGGTTTTTCGAGACAGGGTTTCTCTGTGTAGCCCTGGCTGTCCTGGAACTCACGCTGTAGACCAGGCTAGCCTCGAACTCTCGAACTCAGAAATCCGCCTGCCTCTGCCTCCCAAGTGCTGGGATTAAAGGCGTGCGCCACCACCGCCCGGCTCATAGTATTTTTAATATAGAACTTTTTTTTGGAAGTTTAAGATTCTGTATTGCTATTGTCCACCTCAACATTTTTGGGTTTGGTGTTCTCTCTGCCTAGTTTCCAACTCTTACTGAGTCCTGGTGAAAGTTATATGAGCCTGGCTCAGATACAAGTGTGCACACCTTTCTCCTGACCTTCAGTCTGAATGTCTTTTCTTTTTGAATCTGTGCAGATTGTCCAGAACATTGTGGGCACAGCTCTGATGATCTTAGTAGCCATTGGTTTTAAAACCAAGCTGGCAGCTTTGACTCTCGTCGTCTGGCTGTTTGCCATCAACGTGTATTTCAACGCCTTCTGGACAATCCCGGTCTATAAACCCATGCACGACTTCCTGAAATATGACTTCTTCCAGACCATGTCAGTGATTGGGGGCCTGCTCCTGGTGGTGGCTCTTGGCCCAGGGGGTGTCTCCATGGATGAGAAGAAGAAAGAGTGGTAACAGACAGATCCCTCCCCTCCCTGGCTGAGGCACAAGGCCCTGGACTGGTTCAGGGTAGAGTCAACAAACTGCCAGCATTTATGTGTCCTTTTCCCTTCCCCTCCCTTGGTAAAGGCACAGATGTTTTGAGAACTTTATTTGCAGACACCTGAAAATTGGAAATAGTCTGGAGTCTGACTGTCCAGGGCTGGCCAGCTGGATGGTCACTCCTTAGCCAAGGCTTGGAGAAGACAGAGGAGCCTCATTCCTCCTGTCTCTGAATTCCTTTTGGGGGTGAGGGACTTCGAGTCATACTGAGCTGTACTTTATCATTCAAAACAGTTTCCCTTCTTAGTTTACATCCTTAGCTCAAACTACTAAATGACTTAGGATGGTCCAGCCAAACCCCAAACAGTTAAACCTCCAGTTCAGAATTCTACCAGTGGCCCCAGCATTGCTTCTGCCCCTGTATTTTATAGGATCAGTGAAGATGTTAGAGAAACCCCAAGTCAAAAGAACAGTACAGTATTGGAAATGTGGGTGCTACTGCTGGCCCAAGTCCTTGATGTTAGCTGGCTAGATGCTGTTTATTGGATGAAAGGTACCCTGGGAGTTTTCATGGCTCCAAGCAGGAATGGGATGGGGTAAGCAGCAGGAAGTTCTTAGAAAGCTGCTATCCCTCAAGCTTGGTGGTGGAAAGGGCAGGAGAGCAGGCTGCTCACAGGATGGCCCACAACCACCATGGAACCAGCCTGGGGAACAGCGATGCCATAGGGTCCAGAAGTGAGGAGCCCTAGTACTCAAGACACCTAGGCTCAACCCAGTTACCTCACACTTGACCGTCTCAGAGCAAGGCCTGAACTCCACAGGTTGTGCTCCCCAACCCCCTAGCTTAACTCCCTGTTCCAGGCTGAGCTTACCCCATCAACAGCCCTGATGCCACCATTTCCCTGAGGCTGTTGCTTGCTCAGATTTTTGTCAACTTGCTCTGCTGGATGCAGCCAAGATACTTTTTACAATTTGTGATGCCTTACCAATTTGATCTCAGTCCTGTATTTAAAGTTTTCTAACATTGCCTTACACTGTGTTTCTCTTTTTGGGAGAGGGGTGTCTAATGTTATGGTCTTGCTCATCTGCATGGTAGTGCCATGAGGGTAGTTGGGTTCCTCTTGGATCTCTCCCAGGTCTGTTGGAGGGAACAGAGACAGGCTTTGAACCCCTGGAGGGAAGCTGGCAGCTTACCTCACCCTTGGGTACAGAGTCTTGGAGGTCCTCCTTTCTGGCATCAGCTGGGTAGGTAGGACTGTTCTCTAAGTTACCTTGGGTCAGTCCCTTGCCTACCTGGCTCTGCAGTCTGAATCCACTTTCTCAACAGCTAGCCCATGTTCTACTACAGCCTTATGGCCTGCCTATTCCTCCCAAGTGAGTTCCAGCAGTGGCCCAGGCCATGCTATTTCTTTACCACTCAGCAGCTTGACAAGCAGAGCTGCCTCAGTGCGCACCCACCTGCAGTGGCAGCCCCATGACATTCCAGTCTGTGGAGTGGGGCAGACCCTGGGAGGCAAGTGTATGCCATGCAGCAGTAGCCCTCATTCCAAGGGTACCCAGCCCATTGACCAGCCTCCTGTGGGCTCTGCCTTGGATGGGAGCCCTCATCCCAAGGGTAGCCTCCTGTGGGCTATGCCTGGGATGGGAGAAGAAAAATGATACACATACTGGTTTGGCAAAAGTTGTCTGAAAATGCTTTAGCTTTATGTGGGAATAGGTATAAACCTCATTTTTATGCTGTATTTTATATCTTAGTTGTGTTTGAAAATGTTTTGATCTTTGGAAACATCAAAATAAATAATGGCATTTGTGGTATATAGTGTGATCCTATGTGGTGACCAGCCAGGCTCAGGAACCGGGCTAGGCTCAGGATGCTATAGTGAGCTACAGCAAGGGTCACTGAACACTACAGAGAAAGCCATGCATGGAGAGGAATCTTCAAGTCCCTGCTGCTGCCATCTTCTGGACAGAACCTCCATCGCACTCTGGACAACAGCCAATGTCAGGACACTGGTGGCCAGTTCCAAGGACACCCAAAGGCTTTCTTTGCAGGTTTCATCTCCCCAGCTGCTTAAAGGAACTGAAATTCTTGGGCTTGTGATGCTGCCTCTTGAACTTCTTGGTCAACGAGGTGAGCTGCTTCTGTGAAAGCAGAGAATACTGACCAGGGAAGGCACTATGTGTTTGAGGCTGAAGAACAGTCTGCTTTCACACACTTGGGTCAGTGTGGGGCCCCGGAGAGAGCAGCACAGTTGCCTACAGACTTTGTCCATCCTGCTCCTCTCTGACAGAATCCTCACTCCTGCTCCATAGAGAGGGAGTGGTGCCCAGCAGCTAAGCCTCTGAGTCCTATGTTACGGGGGCAGGGGAAGGGGGCACCCCAGCTCAGAGCAGTCAGGACTTATTCCTTCAGGCCTTCTGAAGTGGCCTTAGCTTCCATATTTATAGGCTGCTGACAGTCACTTGCAGAATTTGCTAAGACTACAGGGAGCACTAGCTGTCCAGCCTCACTCAGCTTGGGCCCTGTAGCCCTCCCCACCCTCAGCACACCACTCACCTTCCTGAGTCGTTCCCTCTTATGGCCCACTTTGGCCTCTCCTCTCTCTCTAGTCCTCTGCTCTTCTGAATGCTTTGGCTTCTCATCCTGTTTGTCTGTCAGAAAGTCTTCAGGAGTTTCATTGTTCTCAAGGTTGCCCAGTTCTCTCTTTGTGAACAGCTCAGCTGGAAGGAACAAAGACGTGGCTGAGCTAGGTAAAAGCATCCCTTTCCTGGGGAAAAAATGGCTAACAGCAGGATCACAAGATACCTAGCAGGAGACATGGCAGGGATCAGGCTGTGTCTGCTTACGTGGGTATAGGTCTGTCATGCTGTCATCACTCAGGGCGCCTCCCTCATCACTGGAAGCTGGCTCCCAGAAACCTGTTCTCTGGCCTGGGAGTTCATCACTGTCCATCTGGTCCTCCCACTTCTTCTTGTGTAGAAGGCAGGCAGGGACATACTCCACACCTTGTTTCTGACACTCTTCATCTAGGAGACCAGCAAGCTCATTACACTGATACCCTTTTGGTGCACAGCTAAGCTATGGGTTGTATTGTGCCAGGGTTCTATTCCTGTATCCTAGATAGGGTTGGGCAACCAAAGGCTGTGGATTTCAGGGGAAACTGCCTGTCTTCACCTCTCCTGAACTTGGAGCCGGGAAGGCACTTACTGTATCACCACTGCTGTCCTCAGGTACTGAACTACTTGGGTCAGCAGCATTTCCATGGGCGGAGGATACCACCTCTGTCACCGATCATTGCTCATGGAGTGACAGTCTGACTGAGACCTGACATCTGATAGAACTAACTGCTAGTTCCAGTCTTTTCTTACTCCGTCTGTGGCCTCCTCCCAGTGCTCTCAGCAGGCCAGTTCGCCACAGTAACTTCAGCCCACCACCCTAAGTGGCCTCATTGCATTTTGGCCCCGTCTCAGCTCTTTGGTTTATCTTTATAATTCTCTCATGGGAATTCCTGAACAGCACCTCCCTGTCAAAATGCAGCACAAGACAAAACTAACAAAGGCACATCCTAGCCTTAGCTTGCTTCCTCTAGGAGCCCAGGTGCCAATTCTAGGAGCTCCTACATGTGTGGTAGGATCTAGCTGTGCTGCAACAGCAGTCAGTCCACGCTCCTTACCTTCCCACCCTCTTGAAATCTGCCTGTCAGGGACAGGACAGGCAATGCAGTCCCTGAGGCCTCCCACTCATCCCCAGCCTCTGCAAACCCCCACCCTTCATTCTCCCTAATTCCTTCACCCCAGGAGCCTCCAAGTTACCTAATCTTAGTCCCTCATCTTCCTGTGGTGGTATGGGTGGGAGACCTTCACCTCCCTCATGCTCAAGCTGGCCCCATCCTCCTTCCCTAACCCACCCGGAAGTTAAAATAACCACAGGAGTCTCCACTCTCAATTGCTTGGAATGCCCTCCCACCCCTGGCTGTACCCAAGAAATACTGGAGTCCTGTCTGCAAGTCCCCTTCCCTGCTCAAGCCACCAACCTTTAGCTGCAAGACCCCTCATCCTCTGGAGCCTACAGGACTGTTGGCACCAATCCTGGTCCTGAGAATGGTCCTCGAGGCTCTCCTGCAGTATCAAATGACTATGGACCTGTCCTATAACTAGAGTACTGCAGCCGCAGCCTGGGAGCCACCCTGGGATTGTCCCTGCTATGGAATATCAGGCCTCTATAGCATTCTTTCCCACCTACTTCTGGCTTTGCAGTGGGGAGATCAGGAGCCACTGGCCTCCTCACTGCCAGACCAAGCAAGTGCATCAATAAAGGATCAGTGATGGCCAAGGCACCTCTTTGGCTTCTGGGGGGCAAGAGGCATGCATCCTAAAGGCCTGAGCTTCTGGGGGTGACTTACATTGATGAAGTGCTCTCTGATACTTCCGGCCCTGGGTGTGCCTCAGCACATGTTCTGGGGACTTGTTGATGTGCCTCAGGGTGAGTTTGCAAAACAGTTGGTGCCTACAAGGAAAACAGGTGTGTATGGAAGGGCAGTGTACACCAAGGACTTGTGGGCTCCACCATGGCTGCATGCTGCAAACAAATGACATCTGCTGGGGATGCTCTGCATTTAGTCTCAGTGTCTGGACTTTCAAAGGGGAATGGTGGCCTTTAATTCCAGCACTCAGGAGGCAGAGGCAGAGGCAGGCTTTGAGATCAGCCTGGTCTACACAGTGAGTTCCAGGCCAACCAAACTACACAGGCTTATTTTCAAAAACAGTTCTCAAACAATTCTACTCAATATCTGGGATTAAGGACCCATACTGTCATCCAAGAAACTGCAGTCTCACACTGCTCCATGGTGCATGCTTGGGTCAGACAGCTCAGGGAGTTCTATGTGAGGATCTATCAACCACAGAGACATAGATAGGATCCCCAAACAGTGAAACTGGCACTGCCCAGCCTGGCTTCATGGAACTATATATGCAAGGGCCACAAGCAGTAGTCTCCTGGTAAAGTGTCACAGTGGGAGGCCCCTACATACTCAGAGCAGGGGGCACAGGCTCTGCACCTATGCGCTGGCAGCCAACTACGTACCGATTCTTTGTGCTGGGCACAATGTGGGGCTCGAATGCTGTGTAATCGAAGTCAGAGAAGGCACTTGACAGCCGCTGGTACTTCTTGCCGCGGGTGTAGACCTGGAGCTCCGGCAGACGACAGGGCAGCTCATGGCCAGTTAGGGAGCAGCGAACCTGTGGTTGAACCGCCTGTCAGAAGTTGGTTTTTGCCAGCCCCTTTCCTGCACTGTCCTCCCAGGTCCCACTGCTTTCCAGGCACAGTACTCCTCCCTGGCTCCCCTCCTTTCAGGACCACGGTCCTCCGAGTTTCCACTCCTCCCAGGTCCCGTTCCTTCCTGGCCCTACTCTTCCCCGTCACGGTTCTCTTCCGACCTTGTGGGTGTTGGGCAGCAGTCTCAAGCTGGGGTGCTGGCGCAGGAATGCACGCACATCACAGGGTGGTTCGTCCATGATCGGAGATACCCATCTGATGCCGCAGCCACCACGTGAGGCAGAGCGCCGTCCCGGAAGGAAGGAGATTTCTCAATCCCGGAAGTGCCCAAAGATGGCTGCTTTGGCTGTGCTGTGGCGACGGATGACGCGGTGGCCTCAATGGACCTACTCGGGGTCGGTAAGCGGGGGTTCAGAGAGGATCCTGCTCAAGAAGAGGGACCGGGAAGTCTGGGCCCGGACTGGAGTGTGGCCGAGGAGGACCCTCCCCAAGAGAACTTAGTCCTGGGTGGAGTGGTGCCAGGGAGGACCCTGCCCCAGAAGACATAGCTCAAAGTTGAGCGGGTCTGGGTTGGATCGTGTCAGGTGCTTGCGCGTGGCAGGCATGGAGTCCCTGGATTTAGCCCCTCGGCCTGTCTGGTCCCCGCAGGCCCCGTTCTGCGCTGTCAGGAGGAGCGGCTTTGGGTTTTCTGTCCGCTCAGGTGAGAAGAGTTCAGACCTGGGTGCGGTTGGGAACACCTTTTTTTCGGCCCGCAGTGGTCTACTGGGTGTATTGCACTGGGAGAGGGCTGGGCACAGGTGCTGTTAATTGCCCCTTTTGCCATACATTTTCTGGGGTATAATTCTCGAGGAATTGGCCACCCAGTTCTGTTTGTTCTAGGGCTTCTGACCCCATGCCAGTGTTGTAAAACTCCCTCCAGGGATGGTCTGTAGGCCACGCAGGTGTTGCAGTTCTACTGCTCAAACAGCCGTCGCCAAAGCAGAGGACAACTCTTATCTCCAGTGGTTCCTGCTTTTAATCCCTGCTACTGCTTTTGGCCTGGGGACTTGGCAGGTGAATACTGGGGTCGAATTTGGGTGGCTCTGAGCCTTGGACCCACCCCACTGATACCTGCTCAGCTCATGTTGTTTCTGTAGGTCCAGCGTCGGAAATGGAAGCTGAAACTGATTGCAGAATTAGAGTCTCGAGTCATGGCTGAGCCCATCCCTCTGCCTGCAGAGTGAGTGTGGATGCCCATTATCCATCCCACCTAAGGAGTAGCAGTGGGGCTCTTCTGTTTGGTGTATTTTGCTGTCCTTTGGCAGGAACCCTGTTTCCCACTAAACTGCCTTTATGAACTGCTGCTGACTGCCTTTATGAACTTGCCAAAGGGTACAGAATATAAAGATTTATTTCCAGTGCCAGATTTCCCTTTTCAGGTCTCGAGGGATCCTCCATTTCGGTGCCAGTTGGTTGTAGCACTGGTGGATAATATGAAGGTGATGGTCTTTTAAAACATGTCCTCTAAACTTACTGTACTGTCCTGTCCTCTCAAATTTGAAAGTTTTATCCTTCCGGGTAGGTAACAAGTGGAGTTTGGACTCACATTTTGTTAATGTATATATATGTATATAAAGTAGCCATACAGAAACTCATACTTCCCTTGAAAAAACTAGGCTGGTTGTCACAGATCTACTACCTTTGGCATCAAAAGTTGCTGATCACCCGTCTATGGAGGACATAACCTGTCTGATGATCCTCACTGAGCCTTTCTTACCCTTTCTGCTTAGTGGATTGATCCTGACAAATCTGGCTTGCCTACAGCCCTTCCCTTTTCTCCTTGTAGCCCAATGGAACTGAAAAATTTGGAGTACAGGCCAGTGAAGGTCAGGGGGCACTTTGACCACTCCAAAGAGTTGTACATAATGCCTCGGACCATGGTGGACCCTGTCCGAGAGGCCCGTGATGCTGGCAGAATATCCTCAACTGAAAGTGGGGCCTATGTAGTCACTCCTTTTCATTGCTCGGACTTGGGGTAAGTAGTCCACTGCTGAGCCTGTCAGCTGCCCTCACTGCTTCATCAGCACCCTCTAGGTGATTGAGATCCAACTAATATTCCAATATCAAGCAACTTTCCTATGCAGTTTGCTAGAGTTTTAATCACTGAGGCTTAGCAGTTAAGATTGAATCCACAGAACAAAAGACCATTTATATGGCCAGTAGACAGATGCTTCAGTGATTAGTAGTGACAATCTGTATTGGAACTCTTCCTCACCCAAAGGGACACTTTTATTATTGCTCCAGAGTCACCATCCTGGTTAATAGAGGGTTTGTTCCCAGGAAGAAAGTCAATCCTGAGACCAGGCAGAAAGGCCAGGTAAGGCATATGGCTCTTCAGCCTGTGAGATGTATAGTTAAGTCACCTTGTCTCCATATATGACTCCTGTAAAAAGCAATTTTCTGCTTCTTTCAGGTTCTGGGAGAAGTAGACCTAGTTGGCATAGTGAGGCTGACAGAAAACAGGAAGCCCTTTGTTCCTGAGAACAGCCCAGAAAGGAAGCACTGGTACTATCGGGACCTGGAAGCTATGGCCAAGATAACAGGATCGGACCCCATTTTCATTGATGCAGACTTCCGTATGTTGGTTACCCTGCTTTGGTGGAACATGCTCTACTGGATACAGTGAACACTGTCCCCCACCTCCCCTTCTACCCTGGCAGGCTGGGACGAGGAACATCTCATTTAGTAGGGCTGACTGTATTGTCTCCACAGAGAGCACAGTCCCTGGAGGACCCATTGGAGGTCAGACGAGAGTAACTCTGCGGAATGAGCACATGCAGTACATCATTACCTGGTTAGTCCTGCTGTTTCTTCTTGCCCACCCCCCCCCAACTCCCATACTGTATAGGTGACAAATTAATTTCTTTCAACCACAGGTACGGATTGTGTGCAGCCACATCATACTTGTGGCTTCAAAAATTTGTACGTCGTTCACCAGGTGTGTGAAGTTTCATGATGAACCTGTTCCTAACCACTAAAAAATAAAGATTTCGATTTGTAAAAACCCTGGCTTGGTCTCAAAGTATTTTATAGGGGACAGCTTTAATCTAAGCACACACTTGCACCAACCCAAATAACCAAAGGCCATTAGATGGAAGATAATTTTGTAATTATATTTATGTACAGAAAACGAAGTGTACATTATTCTTTAACCCAGTTTAGTGGCGAGTTCTTTAGCCTTTGCTTTTTCCAGCTTGGCAATTCGGGCCACAGACTTAGGACCCAGGACGTTGCCTCCCCAGTGGCGGCGGATCTGAAACAACAAAAGTGGTAGTCATCAGCCTGACAGATCAACCAACCTGCTTTTTATATATAGTGGTTCCAAGTGGGTATCCAAACAACAGCTAAGGCACCAAATCAAACCTACGGCCTGCTCACCTCGTCATATCTGTCATTATAATTGGTCCTAATAGCTTCCACCAGCTTAGCCAGAGCACCCTTGTCTTCCCTGGGAAGGTGATGAGAAAGATCTTGTTACTGTTTGGGAAGCAGGAGCAGGCACCTCCCTCCTCTTTTTTTTTTTGTGCCTCAGACAATAGTATGACCACATAGTTGATTCAGGTGAAGAAATTCTTAACCATCATTGGCAAATGGTCCCAAACTCGGGAGGTTAAGGTGTGGGTGCATGAGGGAAGTTTAGAGACAAGCCTGAATACTCACGAGTTAACCTGTGTGAAGGCAACAGTGGTGCATGTCTTCCTGTGGACCAGGCGACCCAGCCTGGCCTTTCCCTTGATGATGCAGTAGGGCACACCCATCTTTCTGCACAGGGCAGGCAGGAAAACCACCAGCTAGAAGCAAGCATGAGCTGTAGGTTGTTTGGGTAGAAGCAATAGCTAGCTACACTGATTACTTGTGGCAACTGCTCAGGGTTAAAAAGCTCAGTAATAACTTCAAGGTCACTTCAGTCAAACGTTCACATCATCGCAAGAGCCACACAAATCTGATCCCCAGTTCTTAGCAAAGCAATCCCACCCTTCCAGAAGCAGCACACTTCTGCACTTGATGCTTAAAAACCTCCACACCTACCTCAATGGGATCTACATCATGGGCAATCACCACCAGCTGAGCCTTCTTGTTCTCCACCAAGGTGGTGACTGTATTGACTCCTGGAACACACAACTTTGCCTGAGTGCTTGGGCCACTACAGTCACAAGAAGCCCCACCAAGCTGTGACTCAGGGTTAAAAAGCTCGATTTCCTCTTCAGTGATTTCAGGTGAAGAAATTCACACATCACTGCACAGCCTGCCTTTCCATTCTCCCTTTTCCCGGGGGTGGGGGCACTGACCTGCTCGGAGGACAGGTGGTCTCTTAGTTGGGACGTCTCCTTTGCCAGCAGCTTTCTTCTCAGCACGGGCCAGTAGCCTTTGCTTCTTCTCTTGCTTTGTCTCTGGCCTGTACTTGTGGGCAAGCTTAAGCAGCTGAGTAGCTGGAAAAATATTCAATTAGACTCCAAGCTTGAATTACTTTAGGGTCTCCTATGTAGCATAGGTTAGCAGCTTCCTGAGTGCTGGGGCTACTTGGCAAGGGCTAATTCTAATCTGTTTCTTAACTTGGCATTGCAACGTTACGTGAATGGCCTCCGGACCCTTGTAGAGCTGTGGCACACGCCTTTAATCCCAGCACCTGGGAGACAGAGGCAGCAATCTCAAAGCCCAACTTGTCTACATATTGAGCTCCACAACTAGAGACCCCGATTCCCCAATAACCCCCCACAAAACTCCCTACTGTACACAGATAAGGCAGATCAACACTGGGCACCTTCCTCAATTGCTTCCCCATCTTACCCTGTTTCCAGTGGAGGGACTGAGGATCCCCCTCTTCCACCTGTATCTCTAAATAGCTGTTTTAAGACGGCTATGTACTGCAATAAGGGCAAACTCATGACCAGCTTCAAGCTCTGAAAACTCCAAAACTGGCTGTGGCATAGAACCTCACCTGTTTGCCTGTCCAGAGCCTGGGTGAACTGGTTAATGGCAGGAGGTACTTTGAGTCGCTTATAGAGGATGGCTCTTTGCCGCTGCAGCCTGATGTATCGGGGCCATTTAACGAAGCGTGTTAGATCTCTTTTGGGCTGGATGTCCTGCCCTGGGAAGTAAAGAGGGACACTGCAACCGAGGCATCTCCACTACGCTGGCCTGCAACTCAGGCAGCACTGAGGGTGTCGGTGCATCAGCGATCTTGGTGGTTTCAAGTGTCATCACCATCTTTCTGATAGCAAATATTCTCTCACATCATCTGCACACGAGCACCATTTCCCGGTTCTAACACAACAGCCGAAGCATCCGCAGTGGCCGTCTGCAAGCCAGGGCGGCCCTCGAAGGCACACCGCCTGCGTCTGCTTAGGAAGGAGCCGGATCTCACGACTGATAAGGTCCAACCCCCCTAAAGGCTGGACTCAACGTCCCCTGAAAGCGGCGCCTTGTCCTCGGCAAGGCACGCAGACGCCACTTCTTACCAATGCCGAAGTTCTTGGGCCTTTTCTCGAACAGAGGATTGACCACCTTTTTGGCCTCCTGCTTCTTGACGACGGCGGGGGCCGGGGCCACCTTCTTCCCCTTGGCCTTCTTTCCTTTGGGCTGGACAGAAGAAAGAAACCCGGTGAGGCTGTATCTTCCGCCGTCCCATCGGGCAGCAGAGTCATTCCCTGTGCGCCGCCCGCTGCCGCTCCCTTTCCGCGAGGAGTCCCAAAGCGCCAGTGGCGACTTTGAACGCCGCTCAGGGGCGGCGGGTGGAGGATGAAAGCGGATAGCGCGAGGACAAACAACCACTCACCATTTTGCTCGGCTGGAAGAGAGAGAAAGAAGAGGGAATTGTGGGTGATAAGTAAGCGGCCGCGGAGATCGCGAGATCAGGCGCCTGCGCGGGATTTTGGATTTAAAGCGACAACGACGCACTCCAAACTCTTCCGGAGGGGCGGGGCCAGAGCGGGGGCGTGCCGAGCCGCGGCTGCGCGTTTGCCCAGGTCGGTAGGACCAGGCGCCGTAAGGCAGGTTCGGAGAGGCGGCGGGAGACGCGAGAAGGAAACGAAGCTGCGAGGAGTGGGCGCTTTGTTCTCTTGGCGGTAAGGGCCTGCTGCCGGGCATGTGTTCGTGGACCGAGCTATTGTAGCGGAAACCCCCGTCCCCAGCACAGGTCGGACTCGACTGTGGCTCTCACCCAGGGCCCGCCATGGCCCAGCAGAGAGCCCTGCCCCAGAGCAAGGAGACGCTGCTGCAGTCATACAACAAGCGGCTCAAAGACGACATCAAGTCCATCATGGACAACTTCACCGAGATCATCAAGACCGCCAAGGTGTGTGGTTGCTGTTCCGAAGCCGTGGGAGAAGGCAGGAACTTACTTTCCCGGGGCGTGGGTACAGGAGTCTAGACTCTCGTACAGGGGTGGGGTTTGCAGAGGGAATGTGATCTGAACGGTGCGTTAAAAGTAATGGGACAGCAGGGAAATAGAAGAGCCAAATAGTGTCAAGCGCAGGGAGAGCAGAGTAGAGAACTCGGGCCCGTTTGCCAGGGCTCTACGTTAGTTACTGGGCTCTAGACACCTGGGCTGAGTTTTACCCATGCCATAGATTCTTGAGATGACTGATAAGTTTAACCTTTTAATACAGTTCCTCATGTTGTGGTGACTCCAACCATAAAATTATTTCTGTTGCTACTTCATAACTGTAGTTGTAGTTTTGCTACTCCTATGAATCCTAATGCAAATACTAGTTTTTCCGATGGTCTTAGGCAGCTCCTGTGAAAGGCAACCCACAGGTTGAGAGCTGCTGCTCTTAAATAATTTCTGAGAAGCCTCAAGCCCACTGAGGTCTGTGTCAGTCTTTAGCTGGTCCCCCTGTAAAGCTAAGAGTGGCAGTTGAGGCTTTGTGCGGAAGCCTTGCTTAGTTAACTGTTCAGCATGGTGCTTAACCAGGAGGGTTCATGAAAAGCCACTTTTGGCTGGGGCTATTGTTGAGATCCTTTATTGCACATCTTTTCTTTTTTTTTTCTTTTAAGATTTATTTATTTATGTATGTGAGCACTCTATTTGCATGTATACCTGCAAGACAGAAGAGGGCGTCAGGTTCTATTACAGTTGGTTAGGAGCCACCTTGTGGTTGCTGGGAATAGAACTGGATGTGCCATCCCTCTAGCCCTTTATTGAACATCTTATTTCTTGTAAACTATCTCAAAGACTGGGCAGTGTCCTTTTGACATGCAGTCATCTATTGTCACCCAGAGAACAAGAAAGAGTTGGAGTGGACATTGCCAGCTGTCTAGATAGGAAGTAGGGTTCTGGGTCTGCAGGAAGGCCTGATAGACAAGCTATGGTAATGGCATGAAGGGTGGTGGTGTTGGCATCGGCTGTTAGCTATTGGGTTCCTGTGAGCCAGGCTAAGCCAGGTGGCTGCTACCTGTGTTGATTCTAGACTTTCTTATTTGCCCCCAGATTGAAGATGAGACACAGGTGTCGAGGGCTACTCAGGGTGAACAGGACAATTACGAGATGCACGTTCGAGCTGCCAACATTGTGAGTACCCGGGGCAGAAGACACCCATGTAGGAGTTGTAGGTGGAGTTCAGGGTAGCAATCGGGTGGGCAGAGCATGTCTTAGGAGATTGCCCCTCACAGGCTCTGGGAGGAGGGCTAAATAGACAGATGGCCTCGTCTCTTCTGTGTTGGGAGTGAGTAGGAAGGCAGCAGTTCTTGCTGACATGAAGGTTTCCCAAGGCTAGTTGTGAATGGAAAGGCAGATGGCTGAGTGAGGCATGTGTGGAACGTGAGCCCCTCTGGATCTTGCAGGGAAAGCCCAGTAGGTCAGTGTCTGTGCAGTGGGTACCAGCAGCTGTGTGGGGCACAGATGCCTGTGACTGCCCAAGGGCATTGTTTTTTGTTGGCTCTGAGTGGAATGTGGAGGATGTGTGAGTGTGTGAGTGGATGTGTGAGTGGTTGGTGGATGTGTGAGTGGTTGGTGGATGTGTGAGTGGATGTGTGAGTGGTTGGTGGATGTGTGAGTGGAATGTGCAGGATGTGTGAGTGGTGTGGCTGGTGAAGGAAGACTCCTTGAAGTGAGCAAACTTAGCACACTTGGTCATGGAGGTGCTGATCTTGCCTCCCTGGCTGTGCCTCTGTCCTCACAGATGGCTCTGTACAGGGCAGTATTTTTCTTCGCAGAACGTAAAACAGACTCCCAGAACGCACTGCTGGCCCAGCACCAATTACACAGAGCAGGGCCAGTGTCTCTGCCTTTTTTCATATTTTACCCTGATTATGATGGTGCAGGTCCGAGCTGGTGAGTCACTGATGAAGCTGGTATCTGATCTCAAGCAGTTTCTGATTCTCAATGACTTCCCATCTGTGAATGAAGCCATTGACCAGCGTAACCAGCAGCTTCGAGCCCTGCAGGAGGAGTGTGACCGGAAGCTCATCACCCTGCGGGATGAGGTCTCCATTGACCTGTATGAGCTGGAGGAGGAGTATTACTCGTCCAGGTACAAATAGGGTCGGACTCCCGTGCAGGCGGTGCCTGCTGCCTGCCCAGACCAGCTAGGGCCTGAATGGCCTTGTGTTTTTTCAAGTTCTCCGTGGCAGCAGAGCCCATGGCTAGACTGTTTGATGGACAGACAGTCACAGCCAGCCACCAGCGGGGGGGCCCAGGCCTTCCGCTCAATGAAGAGGGATGAAAACACAGGACTTGGTTGTGTGTCAGCGGCTTTGGCCAGAAAAGGGTATCCCCCAGGGGTTGAGGAAGCCCTCCTGGGCAACACAGTCACTACCTTACTGCTTTAAATCTCTGTCTGTCTAGACGTTCCAGTCAAGGCTGGATTCGCCCCTTGTGGCCTTCCAGGTCTCTAACAATGTCCACTTTCTGGGACACCCCTGCCTACTGCTTGCTCAGAGATTCAGTTTCATGTGAATGTCATCAACCCACAGTGGAGAGGTGGGGAACCCTGGGGAGGAGGAGTAAGGAACTCAAGCAGAGTCGCTTTGAATCTTGGGCCTGGGATACTTGGATGTCCTGTTTCTGGTCAGCTGGGGCTTATTCTCCAGAGCCTCCTGGTGTCAGACCTATGCTAGTCCCAGAGGATAGCAGCAGTTAGGGCCTGTCACCTAGCTCTCTGCAGGGCTACTTAGAATCTTGAAATCTGAAACTTTCTGATCCAGAGAGGCCTTGAGAAATCAAGAGTCCAGTGTAAAATATGTAGGGAACTGAGGCTGGAGAATGGAGGCCTTGAGCCACCCCCTTAGCTTGAAGTTAAGGTTCCCTTCAGCAGTGCCCTGCCTTAGGAAACCTGTCTTCCCCTGGTGGTAGGTTTGCTGCTGCTGTACAGAAGCTGCAGTCAGAGCTGCAGATGTCCAGTGCTGCCATGGTGTGTGCTCTCGGGTTTGCTCCCATCTTAGACTCAGTGTCACTGCCTAGCTTCTATAGTTCTGAAGCTCTCCAGAGGGTTCTGGGGTTACTTTTGGTTCCAGTGTTTATCAGCTTAGCAGAAAAGTGGGAGCATCTACTGTACCCCAAAATGGTAGAGACTTATACCCATCCAGGGTGAGTTCCTTTTTACATCTTCCTGTCACTCCCTTGTAGACAGCTACTGCTTCATGGACACTTGGGTGGATCAATATTGGGACAATGACTCAGTCCTTCTATAGGGGTTGAGGGGATAAATTGCTCAGATAGGAACCCAGAGCACCAGGTTTCCAAAGCCTCAGTCCTTCTGCATCACGTGCATAAGTTTCTGGGACCACCCGTGTCCTCTTTGGGCAGTCACCTCTCTCATATCCCTCATGGTAAAGCAGCTGCTCCTCTGCCATGAATTTCCTTAAATGGCAGAGCTCTTTTGTAGGTGAGGCAGTAGGTTTTGTCTGCCCCTATCACCCTTATGGCCACACCACCACCAGCTGCCCAGCTTCCTCTCTGCACGGCTACTTTTGCCTATATACTACCTGCTTGCTCTTTCTGGCTTTGCCTTCCCTCCACTTTCCTGGGGATGCTACCCCTTTTGTCTTGGATAGTTCTGAGAGGCTGTTGGGGACTGCAGGCATGGGAGAAGGCCAGGGCCGTGTGCATATTAGACAGCTGTGGAGACAGATGTGCTCAGGTAACCACTGCCATGACCACTGAGGCATAATGGCACTCTGGCTTTCCCTGTGTGATGTAGGGAGATAGAATGCATGATGCTTGGGGCTTAGAACTATAGAACGAGAATAGTGTTACATAGAGAAATACCCAGACCTGTATTGCTGACTGTTACCCAGTTAGGCCAGGGCCCTGGTAGGGATGGCAACAGGTCTCTGCCACCAGGAGCTTTGTAAAGTCTTCTCACTACCCTGCTGGTAAGGGATGGGTAGTAGGGGGAGACTGATAGGAACAAGGAGAGTCCCATGTGTCAGGAAGGACATGTGGCCCATTGGCAAGAGCTTGCCAAAGTAACATGGCCTGTTGACGCCATCTTTCTTTGGATGCAAGAGTGACCAGACGGCTTAGCCAAGGGGCCCTCAACAGAGGAGAAGGGGAGGCATTTGAGGAGAAGGAGTCAGGTGATGTCCATGTCTTAACTCTGCATCTGTCTTGCTTTCCCCTCCCTGGCTTTCCTCTGCCTGCTCCTGTCATTCCTGGGGGTTTCTTGTGGTGGCAAAGCTCAGCGCTCTGCGAAGCCAATGACCTGTCTCTGTGTGAAGCTTACTGGAGGCTGGACCTCGACACAGACTCTGCTGATGACCTCTCGGCTCCTCGTCTGCTGTCCCTGGAGACTGGAGCTGGTCCCTTGCAGTCTGCAGCCCCCATCCACTCCCATGGTGGTGGCCCTGGCCCTACAGAACACACCTGAGCCTCTTGGGGTACCTCTCAGGGTAGCCCTCCCTGGAGCCCTAGTTTATCAGAAGGGAAGTCCTGTGGATACCCACCACAGCCTAGTTTTTTTCAGTCTTAGCTCCATTGGGGACTTTGAGATCAGGAGCCACTGTAGCCTCAGGAACCTGGCCAGGCCAGGGCCTGTGATAGTTGGGGAGTGCTGTTCAGTTATTTACAGGCAGGTGGCTACCTTCCTGATTGCCAGGTGGAAGTTTGTCCCATTGAAGACCTTGAATAGGGTGGGTGGCTGGTGATAGGAAGGCAGGTTCAGCTTGTTTAGAATTGTGAGATATTTAGTGGATCTTAGTCAAGTCCAGTCACCCATCCTTAGGCTTAGGTTCTATATAGAGCCCTGTCCACTGCCTGGTGCCTGGAGCATAAATGTCTGCCACAGCTGACAGTCCAAGCAAGATTGTGTGAGGGGCAGCTAGCCAGGGCATCTGCCTGGATTCTCACACCATTTCCTCCTGCTACTTTTGTAATGAGACTGTTGAATAAAACATCAGCTTTCTGTGCTGTTGTCTTTCTTTCCTGATCAGTCCAAGATTGCCCTTGGGTTCCTTGAGTAACAGCCCTTCCCTTATAGCTTTGGGTTCCTAGCATCTACTAAGTCCTTGACATACAATAAATGAATGAAAAATCTGCTATTACTTAAAGCTATATGACTGTAGCACCTGTACCTTGAATGCCACCTATTTTTGCTATCCCAACTTAGAGCTATCATGCCTGCATCTTCAAGGCACTGGCCACGGGCTTGGAAGGGGTGGAATGTCTTGCTCAGAAGTGAAGTTCCCAGAGACAACTGGGAACTCAGACCCCATTGCCTCTCAGTACCAGGCTCATGGCTGACATGCAGAAACCATGGTTCTGGGGCAGGTGTGTGCTTTCAGCCTGTCACTCAGGTGTGTGCTTTCAGCCTGTCACTCCTACCATTGGCATGCTTCATTCATGGAAGTAGTAGCCCTGAGTCTATGAGGAACATGGGCTGCTCTGCTCAGCACCTACAATAGCCATACAGAACAGAGCCCTCAAGTGTGGGCAAATCACTGTCCCAAGTGAGGGAGTCTTCCACCAGAGTGATGGCACTACAGTGTTAACCGTTGGAAGAGCTTGTAAGTGCCATGGAGAAAGGGTGGAAGAATTGGGGAAAACACTAAAAGCAGCAGTGCAGAAGGAATTCCAAAACCTTTTATGAAAGTGTTTTATTGTTTGGTCAATTCTGTCGTTCACATTTAGAAGCAAAGCTTCTCATTTAAAGGGCACCATTGTCTTTCTCCAGTTTGTATGTCCAGGGGCAGGCTCCCTGGAGATACAGCTGGGGATTCAGTTTACTAGAAACTCAGAGTCACAAGTGGTGTAACTTGTGTATCACCTTTTTTTTTTTCCACAAGCATTAACTTTTGAGTTGCTGGGACACAACAAAAATGACCGTAGAGGCTCTACTTGGGGCTTGCCTTTGCATTCATTTCCTCATAAGTAGCTTCAATGCCATCTGCAAAGAGTTTCTCATTCCTAAGGGACCAATATCATCACCACTGGGATGCATGGCTACTGCATGTAATCTAGGCTCTACACCATACTCATGTCTCCACTTGTCGCCCACGTCTTTTTATATCTGTTTGTGTTTTGCTCTGTGTGGCAGGACTGGCTGTAGAGTGCTGAGCATCCTCTTCAGTCCAATAGTAGGGAAAGAGCTATAGTAGCCTAGGTCTGCCAGACGCTGAGGGCCAGAAGCACGGCGGAAGCCCAGCCCTCTCGGGTTACTTACATTTTTCAGAGAGACGCCTCCAAATTAAGGACTAGCCGGCCCCTCAGGCATGGCTAATCGAGCTCCGAAAGGGAAGCAGCTGCGAATACTGTGGCTTCAGGGGCTGGCTTGCTGGTTTGCTAATCTGGAGTTTAGATTTCGACAAATGCTTCGGGGGCGGCTTCCGGTACTCGTGGCTAATAGCGTTGCCCAGGCGGCGCCTGCGCACGAGATACTTCCGGCGGGGTCAAGCCGTTCTGTCGGTGGTACCCGTGTACACGGTCCTTCCGGCGGGTCTCGGCAGCGGGAACTTCCGATTGTGGCTCCCAGCCCTAGTTGCCAGCATGGCCTCTCTCCTGGCCAAGGATGCCTATCTGCAGGACTTGGCCAAGAAGATCTGCTCGCAGCCTGGCCCTGAGCGGCAGAGGAGCAAGTGGGGTAAGGCGTCCGGCCCGAGCAGCTTTTGGGAACGGACCCGGTCGTATGAGGCCCTCTGTCCTAGGTCGCAGCCGGACCCTCCACAAGGGATATGAGTTCGGGCGGGGTTGGTACTGTCGGACACAGGAAAGGCTTTAGCCCTGATGGAGTGGGAGGGAGTTAGGAAAATTACCAGACTTGAACGGGAAGGAAAATGTACTTGCTATTGGGAGTGTGAAGAATTTTCTCACTGGAGTGCTTTTCAGTTCTTGTCTATAAATGTGTCTCATGTGTTGAAAGAACACACACACTATTCTTGACCGTTTAGTTTAGAACACTAACATTTCCTCCTCATCGTCAGTGGGTGGAGCAAGTCTTAACATCAAAAAAGTTTCGATTGGGCCTGATTGGTAGGGAGATGGAGGAGAAGGACCTCGAGGTCGCCTGTCTGGGCTACATGATGTGTTCATCTCTGCATGAGCAACTTCAGGAAACTCTCAAAAAGTAAAAGGAGCGGGTGGAGATACGGCTCAGTGGTTATGAGCACCTGTTATTCCTGCGTAGGACCCAGATTTGGTTCCAGCACCTACATGACAGCTTACAACAGTCCCTAACTCCAGTTCTAGGGGTTCTTAACACTGTCTTCTGGCCCATAGAGGCACCAAGGATGGTCTTGAAGCACAGACATACATACATACTTAGAAAACTCATAAAAGTAAACTAGTCTGGGAGCTGGGGGTTGGGGATTGCAGTCCACATGCCTTTAATACCAGCACTTGGCAAACAGAAGTAAGATCACTGTGAATTCCAGATGGCCAGGACTGCATACTGAGACCCTGTTTATTTTCGCTTTTGTTTTTGAGACAGGGTTTCTCTGTGTAGCCCTGGCTGTCCTGGAACTTGCTCTGTATACCAGGCTGTTTCTGCCTCCCAGGTGTGTGCCACCACCGCCTGGCTTAAAATCCTGTGTTAAAAATAGATAGATAGATAGATAGATAGATAGATAAGGAGCTGGAGAGATGGCTCAATAGTTCTGTATATCTACAGCTCTTAGGAGAGGACCAGAGTATTCCCAGCATCCACCCCTTTTTGGACTCCACAGACACCCCCATTTATGGTGCACGTACTCCACACGTACATGCATATGATTTAAATGTAATAAAAATAAATTTACAAAAAGGAAAAGGGGGGTTGGAAATAATGATTTAGTGTTAAGAGCACTTGCCTAATGTCTGTGAGGCCTGTTGTATGACATCATGTGGGAAGACACACAGAAACCCACAGCTGCATGTAAACACAGTAAAGAGTTTGTTCTGGAGCCCATTTGGAACAATCATGGCCTGGAAACATGGATTTAGGTTACTCCAAATTGTATTTTCCAAGGGAAAATATTTCTTGAGGAATATTTTGAAGTTTTACGGAACAACGAAAGCCAGGGCAAATTTAAAATACATTAATGTGTATATCAGGTAGGTATAGTAAGCTGAGGAAAACTTTTTTAGAACTAAATGCTGATGACATTCCCTCCCATTCCCCAGACGGGGCTTCTCTGTTTAGTTTTGACTGTCCTGGAAGCCTTGTAGACCAGGCTGGCCTTGAATTTACAGAGCTCCACCTCTGGAATGGATTGTTGGGATTAAAGGCACGCTTCACCATGCCTTGCGCAGATAACATTCTCAATTTTTAGGTTGGTCTGCTAAGTTAATAGATTCCAAAAGGTTTGCTATCTTATTTGTGGAGGTGGGTGAGGGATAATCTCCAGACCTGCAACATTCCAGCCTCTCTTCATCTCTGCAGTTCAAAGGAGTCAGTGTGCAGACAGCTTCTTTCCAAGAAATTTCATTGACAGAACCAAAGTGGTAAATGAAATGAGCTTTATGGGGTGACTTACAGGAGTGGAAATGATTCAAAAGCAGCTTTATCACCAAAGCCTACCACAGCAGGGGTGATGGATCACAAAAGCTGGAAACCTGGAGTACACTGAGTAGCTTGCAGGCATCTCAAAAGTTGGGGAATATCTATTTTGTGTACTCATGTTTGACTAAGTGATGCCTTATATATGCTTGGGGAAGAGGGAGCGTATTGAGTCAGTTTCAGGGACTTCCTGAAGCCTTGGTGTTTGGTTCCTGTGTTTAAGGAGTGTCCCTCTAGGATGGAAGGCTTTGTTAATTTATTTTCAAGACATGGTTTCTCTGTGTAATCCTTGATGTCCTGGAACTCACTTTGTAGACCAGACTGGCTTCAAACTTGGAACTCCACCTGCCTTTGTCTCTTGAGTGCTGTCATTATAAGGGTGCCCAACCACACCCTGCTGGCAGGTTTTATTTAGAGGGAAATTGCTGTCCTTGAGCCCTGTGAGGAGAAAGGGTCTGGCAGCTCTGTCATTTATTCTTGAAAGAGGGTGGTTGTGTTGTGTGTAGATAATGGGGTGGTGACCACCCTGAAGCCAGACTTGGCATTCTGTTCCTCATAGGCATAGCTACTAGGTCAAGTTGTGGGGGGTATATTTTGGATTTTAAAAAAAATTTAATTTATTTTTGCTCTTTTGAGGTGGGATCTCATTATATAGCCCAGCCTGGCATGAAGCTCTCAGCAATTCTAGTGCCTTGGCCTCCAGATACTAAGGGATTGTGATGTATGGCCATCTGCTGCCCAGGCAGTTGGTGGCTTTAAGCTCTGGACAGGTGGTGGTGGCAGAGCCTTCTGGTTCTTTGCATCATCTTTCTTTACTGAATTGGTCAGAAAGGATTCCACTTGTTTTGCATTTCAGCCATCAGAACAAAAGGCTCAGAAGCTGCTGGACCCCAAAAAAAGAAAAGGAAAAAAACACAAAAGAAGTTTCAAAAGCAGGAACAGAAAGCTATGGAGCCCAAGACTAAACCCCTGGGCAAGAAGTCTCCCACTTCTTCTGGGGCCAAGAAACCAGTGGTATCCAAACAAGAGAAGAACTCCAGCTCCCTGGGGTCCCCTAAAGGTAAATGGCTCCAGGGTATGCATGGTCAGAGCTGGGATGGACCTAGACACAAATGTCCCCACTGCTCAATAGTGCTAGCAGTTTTGTCCTGTGCTGCATGACAGCCAGGTGACAAGGCACTACTTGTTTTTCTATGTCATAGGGACCAATCTCATAATGCAGTTGTTAGTGCCGTATTTTAAAGGAGCTTGGGTAGAACTTAATGGTGGCCTGTAAATCCACAAGCAGCCCTGGGAAGGTAGGAAGGAAGTGGTGGGAGGGCAGTTCCCTTTCAGCCTAGCTTTCTTCCCTGCAGGTAGTCGAGGCACAGCACCTGATTCTGTCTTTGCGCTGGATTTCCTGCGACAGCGGCTGCATGAAAAGATCCAGATGGCC